CCTCAGGTCACACAGACAGTCCGTGACAAGCCCAGGATTCCAGCACAGCACAGTTAATGCATAAGCACCCGCGCAGCACGCAGGGCAGACACAGGCTGCCCCTCACATGCTTGGCTCTGAAAAACCCAAGGACCACCAAGGTTTCTGCCTTCAGTTCAGGGAAGAGAGGCTGCAGTAGGTGCAGGATAGGACCCCACCCACCTGCACCATTTTCTGATTGAAGCTTTCGGCCTCCTCCTTCCGGAGCTGCCGCTCCTGGGAGAGCTGCTCTTGCAGGCCCCGGAGGCTGTCGTGGGCCTCGGCCAGCACCAGCTGCAGCTCCTTGATCTGGGGTCGAGATGAGGGACACGGATGAGGAGCAGGGAGAGAGCAGGAGGACAGAAACTGCAGTCGAAGGATGACAGTCAGAGGAGAGCGAGACAGCAGGAAGTCAGACCCAAGCTATCCTTCACGTATACTCCAGGCATGATGGCAGGTCTCTACTTCAGTGGGTTGTCATGATGATGAAATGAAACGGTGCACATCAAATCTAGCTATTATTAGAATTTTAACTTGACACTTTCTGGCGAAAATTTATTTGAAGAAAATAATATACTACGAAAACTAAGTGAATTCACAAAAATGTTCATCTCATTGTTTATAACTGTAACAATTTACAAACAGCTTAGGTAAGTCAGGGATCAAACATATGTGTTTAACGGGTCTATACTTATGTAAAAATCCATTCAACTGTACACTTAAGGATAGTACCCTTGGTCATTCCCTGGCTGTCCAGTGGTTAGGACAACATGCTTTCACTGCCAAAGGTGCAGGTCAGGGAACTAAGATCCCACAAGCTGAGAGGTGTGGCCAAAAAAACAAAAAGGATAGTGCCCTTTACTATATGTATGTTTTTATGCTATATTTCAATAACAAGTTAAACAAACTAAACATTCACAGTAGTTAACTATGTGTTAATCTTGTGATCTTGATTTTCTTTTTCCATCTTTATGCTATGCTATTTAGGGATTCTGTTATAGTTATTTGCTGTTTATAATGTAATAAACTCCTACCAAAAAGACAATAAAACTCTACATTTTCAGGGGAAATTCTGTTTATAAGGATTTGGAGCTAAACAGGCAAAACAAATCTATCTGGTTAGAAGTCAGGATGTGACTAAATGGGGACTAGAAGGGAAGCTTCCAGGGACAGGTCATGGGCTATTCATTGATCTGCTTGCTGATTACATAGGAGTGTTCAGCTTATGAAAATTACTTGAGGGACTTTCCAGGTGGTCCCGAGGTTAAGACTCTACACTCCCGATGCAGAGGGGCCGGGCTCTGAGGTCCGTAGCCTAGACTTTGTGCTCTGCAACAAGAGAAGCCGCTGCACAGAGAAGCCTGCGCACTGCGAGGAAGAGTAGCCCCTGCTTGCTGCAACGAGAGAAAGCCGGCAGCAACGAAGATCCAGCGCAGCCAAAAATAAATTTAAAAAAAAAAAAAAAACTTCCTCAGATGAGTTTATAAACTTCCTGTCATCAGGTCCTGAGAATGGCTCAAACTTCCTTGTTTCTCTTCCAGCCCTTGTTGCCAGGAAGCTTGGAACCAAAGGAAACACTCAGAACCCATATCAACACCGGCTAAGATTCTCCACAAGTCACTCTGTTCTTGAGTCACCTCAGCCACTCTCCTCCTACCCCTCGCCCCCGCTCGTGTGGGCCCAGGCCCACCTCAGAGGCATAGGAATCATTGTCTTCAGCTCGGTAAGGCCTGAAGCTCCGGCTGGGGTCGGACTTGGAGTCCAAGTCGCCGGTGCGGAAGGCCTCTCGTATCCTAGGCTCCCATTCCGGCAGGTCCCTGAGGTCAGGAGGCTGCACCTAGAGGCACAAGCAGAAGAAACTAAAGGTGACCCCGGGGAGGGGCACGTGGGGTGCCGGAAACAGCGCCCACTCCAGGCCCCGGGCTCTGTAGGGGCCTCTGACAGGGCACCCGAAGGGAGAGACCTAGGTGGACTCACCTCCGGCGGCTAGCGCACTGCAACTTCTCCATGAATGTTTTCTGTTGTTGTTGTTTTTTTAAATGAATTAACTTTATTTGACTGTGTCAGGACTTAGGGGCTTCCCAGGTGGCACTAGTGGGAAAGAGCCCGCCTGCCAATGCAGGAGATAAAAGAGACTTGGGTTCTATCCTGGGTGGGAAAGATCCCCTGGAGGAGGGCATGGCAACCCACTCCAGTATTCTTGCCTGGAGAATCCCATGGACAGAGAAGCCTGTATCTATCAGTGATGAATGACTAAGGGAACTGTGGGAGAGTCACTCCATGACGTCACATCCGGTCAGAACACTCAGAACTACTTCTACCTGAGACAGCAAACATAATGGTGAGTGAAAGAAGTCAGGCACAGGTGAGTGTGTTCTGTGTCATTCAATTTATGCAAAGTTCAAAGACAGACAAAACTGAATCGAGAGAGGGGTTACCCTTGGGAGTGGGAATAGAGGCTAAAAGGGAACCCGAGGAGGGGCTGCTGCGGTTCCTGTCATCTTGATGATGACATGGGTGTGCTCACTTTGGGAAAATCCATTAAGCTGCACATTTGTGTTTTGTGTGCTTCTCTGTATGATATGATTCAGTAAAAGGTTTATATATGTGTGTGTATACATACACACACATATATAAAAAGTAATAGGGGATTTCCCTGGTGGTCCAGTGGTTAAGGGGCTTCCCAGATGGCGCTAGTGGTGAGGAACCCGCCTGCCAATGCAGGAGACTGAAGAGAGGCCAGTTCGATCCCTGGGTTGGGAAGAAGCCCTAGAGGAGGGGCATGGCAACCCACTCCAGTATTCTTGCCTGGAGAATCCCCATGGACAGAGGAACCTGGCAGGCTATATTCCATGGGGTCGCACAGGGTCGGGCATGACTGAAGTGACTTAGTACAGCATAGCCAGTGGTTAAGACTTTGCATGCATCCATTGCAGAGGAACCCACTCCAGTGTTCTTGCCTGGAGAATCCCAGGGATGGCGCAGCCTGGTGGGCTGCCGTCTCTGGGGTCACACAGAGTTGGACATGACTGAAGCGACTTAGCAGCAGCAGCAGCATTGCAGGGGTTGTGGGTTCGATCTCTGGTCGGAGAAGTGCTGCCTGCTGCACGGTGCAGCCAGAAAAAAAAAAAAAAGCAATAGGACCCTTGACTGGGATCTCTTACCTGGAAGTCTGAGCCAAGGTCTTTGGCCAGAAGAATCTCCTTGGAGGGCCCCTGGGAGCTCAAGGCGGGCAGTGTGGAGAAGGGCTCTGGAGGCTCCTTGACAGGGCCCCCGAGGACCGAGTCCGCCTTCCTCGTGAAGGCGTTGAGCTCCTGCTGGAGCAGGCTCAGCCGCACCAGGAGGGCGTGCATCAGCTTGGCGTCCCTGGGGCCCTCGCTGTTGTTGTCGGGGGCCTCGTGCAGCCGGAAGTCGGCGCACTCGTTGTCCAGATAGGGGCGCAGGCCGGCCGAGAAGCCGTTGGCGTCGGCCACCAGGACGTCAATAGCCTTGCTGACCAGGACAGCCTGCTCCCGCAGCCCTGGCAGGGCCTCAGCCTCCCGGGTCCGGCAGAGTCGCGTGGCCACGGGCCCCGGGGCCTCGGCCAGGACGGCAGGCACGCACTGGGCAGAGTCGCCGGCCTCGGCGTCGGTCTCCAGCATGGGCCTCGTGCTCTGGCAGGAGGCCAGGTCACAGCGCTGGAGGTTGGAGAGGAGCACGCGGTTCTCATACTGCAGCTTCTTGACCTTGCCGCTGAGCTCGCCGATCTGCAGCTTGGCGGCCGCCAGCTCCTCCTGCGAGGGCTCGCTGAGCACCGAGCAGCTGTCCTCCGACAGCGTCACGTCCAGCTCGTGCTCCGAGCGGTACTTGGCCAGCTCGCTCAGCAGCAGCTTGTTCTGGTCCTCCAGCTCGGCCGAGGAGCGCCGCAGCAGCTCGGCTTCCTCCTCCACGAACTGCAGGTGTCGCCGCAGCTCCGCCAGGCTCTCCCCGCACTCGCCGCCGCCCAATGCGAAGGCCAGGCGGGCCTCGGGGCCCCCGCAGCCGCCGCCGCCGTGATCCTTCATGTCGTCCATCTCGGCCCGCAGGCCGCGGTTCTCCACCTCCAGCTCCACGATGCGGCGGCTCAGCAGGTTGGCCTCCTCCTCCACCAGCTTCAGATGCACCTTGAGCTCCGTCTCCCGCGAGTGGGGGGCGTCCGCCAGCTCCTCCGCCGACAGGGCACCGTCCAGGTCTCCGTAGAGCGAGCGGTATTTGAGCAGCTCCTCCTTCATGCCGTCGTTCTCCTTGGCCAGCTTGGTGAGCTTCTTGCACATGAGCGCCGACTCTTCCTTTGCAAAATGCAGCTGGCACTTCAGGTCGGCGCTGTCCTCCTGGGGCCGGAGGGGGAACAGGGACAGGCAGGAGCCAGGAAAGTTAGTGTTGGGAGGCTCAGCCACACCGTTTCGGGGAGCTCTACCTACTAGGTGCTGGGAACACAGTCTTGACGCTCAAGGCGCTGGGGGTCCAGAGGAGAGGCAGAGAGGCATACATGGCAGCACACAAATGGGGCACACATATAGCCTGAGGAGTCCAGGAGGGCTTCCTGGAGTAAGCGACATTGTGTCAGGGTGACTGTTGCTGCTACGACTACTACCATTGCTACTGTAGTCTTCTCATCTGTAAAATGGGGCAATAACACCGCCCCCAACAGACCATGAAGAGAATTAAAGGAGACAATATATAAAAAGTGCCTGACACCCTGATCATCCAGAACCACTTGAGACTAACTGTATTCTGTGCCTGACCTGTGCTACAGACAGGACTGTACAGAGCAGAGCATGTGAGAACCATGGGCTCAGGGTGTAGTTTGGGGAAGTAAAGCTGGCATCAAAGCTAAGAAAATGAATAAGGGGAGGACGGAGTAAAAACAGGGGAGGGGTGGACACCTCTGGGGACTCCTCGGGCCACTTGGAGTTAAGCCGGGGGCCTTCAGACTAAAACCTGCCACTTGGGGTTATGCTGCCTGAGGCTGGTGAAGGCTAACCAGAAGTACCTGCACCGAAGGCTTCTTGTCCGTCTTCCCCAAGGAGCGCGTTCCTCTTTTCTTCAAGGAGTGCTGGAGGAGGATTAAAAATAAACTGAACTAAAGCTCACAAGGGTGATGCACATCCAAGAGCAGTCATGGTGCCCAGGGTTCCGCTGAGAACCCCTCCCCTCCCCAGCCAGCCCGGCCCGGCCATGGCCAGCCTTGAACAGCACCAACAGCTGAGTTAGAGGAGTCTTAAGACCACCCAGTGACTGCAAATGGAGAGCCAGGTCAGTACTTAAGACGATTCTGAACCCACCTGCCCAGGGTTCCTCCCCTCTCTCGCACCCCGGAATTGTGGTCTAATTGGCTTGAGCCCAAGACCTGGAAAATCTGGGTTTCTGTTCTTGTTTGTCTTTCATTCATTCACCAAAGACTGCCTGAGCACCCATCATGTGTCAGGCAGAGTAAGGCATGGAGAATACAGCAGGGACCATGACAGACAGGGTACCTCAGGGGGATACTGGAGTGTTATGCCCAGATCCTCCCTTTAGTACTAGAGTATTCCTCTAGTCCCCCTTCCAGCGATGGTCACTGGCTGAGGGCAACCACCTCATCCAAGGTCTCGTGCCCTCCCTGTGGGGGCAAGGGGGCAATGGGGGGAAGCCACATTCAATGACTAGTCCATGCCCTCTTCCCACACCAGCTCCAGAGCTCCCCATGGGATCAGCTGAGGGAGTGTGAATGCGCTGTAATTCAGCTTCTCCCGCTGCCTCCATCTCTGATGGTGTTTTCCAGGAGGATACTTCCATAAGCCTCTGCATGCAAATCTACATCTCAGGGGGAATCCTGAGCTCAAGGAACTGGCATTCTAGTGAGAACTTTAATTCAGAGTAGATATTAATAAACAGTAATATTTCTCGTATATTAAGTGAAATAAATCAGACAGGGAAAGACAAATACTGTATGATATCACTTTTACATGGAATTCCAGGTGGCTTCCCTGGTGGTTCAGATGGTAAAGAAGCTGCCTGCAATGTGGGAGACCAGGGTTTCATCCCTGGGTCGGGAAGATCCCCTGGAGAAGGGAACGGTAACCCTCTCCAGTATTCTTGCCTGGAGAATTCCATGGACAGAGGAGCCTGGCTACAGTCCATGGGGTCGCAAAGAATTGGACACAACTGAGCTACTAACACACATTAATAAACAAAATGAATATGGTAAAACAAATCATAATTATATAAGAGGCTTAGAAATGATGAGGAACTGATCTTATTTTTTTTTTTTTACAATGTAAATGGTAGGTTTTCATGCAGATTAAAGCAAAGTAAGGCTCTGATAATCATCATGGTGCAAAAATACAGAAGCAGGGATTTTCCTGGTGGTCCAGTGGTTAAGACTCCATGCTCCCCCCACCCCCCAAAAAAGACTCCATGCTCCCAGTGCAGGGAGCAAGGGTTCTATCCCTAGTCGGGGGAACTAGGATCTCACATGCTGTAGAATGAGGCCAAAACAAAGAAACACAAAACAAAAAAACCAAACACAAAAATACAGAAGCAATAGGGGAAGAAATTGATACATTTGATTAGATAAGCAAATTCTACCTGGGGCAAAGAAATGCTCTAAGAAAAGTAAAAATATAAATCACTAATTGGGGAAAAATATTTGCCGTGTATGACACTGACAAATGGTTAATGTCCTAAATACGTAAAGAGAGTCACAAGATAAAGTCCAATAAACCTACAGAGAAATAGGCTAGAGAGATGAAAACCAGTTCACAGGCAAAGAAGCGTAAATGGCTCCAACCACAGGAAGATGCTCACCCTATTCATGGAAGAGAAATGCAAATTAAAACTACACTGAGATACAATTTCTCACCTATCAGATTGGCAAAAACCCAAACATCTGACAACACATTCTATTGATGAAGTGATGGAAAAACAGGAACACTCAGTATCAGTGGCAAGAACGCAAAATGGCACAAGTTCTATAGAGGGGAATTTGAGGAATTGTTATAATCATCTTTTCTGAAGTTTCTCAGCATTTAAAAAAGTCACTCACACCATGAGTCCATTGAACACGTCTTCCCTTGAGAGGAGTGAGTATTTCACTTAGTGGAGTATAAAACCAATTTTGGGTTGCATTTGACTTTTCAAGTCAGGCAGGTAATCTTTGAGCATGCTTCCAGGTAGTTTGAATACATGTGCTTCCTGTCCGCCACTTTTCATACCCCAACCCTGGAGGTGAGAACCACGGATCTAATCCGAGCCTCCTCTTTACTGAAGGCAAGAGAGGTCCCACAGCAAAACCAGAGCTGACCTGGGACCAGTTCTGGACAGAACTCTTGTTCTAGCTCCAAAACACTTGAAGGAGAAACTGTACCTTCTTCGACAGAGGCCAGAGTGGACCCAGCACAGTGGCTCTCAACCTGGATGCAAATCAGAATCACCTAGGGGAAATTTTAAAAATTGATGCCCAAGATCCCAGCCCCAGAGACTCTCACATCATTGGTCTGAGTAGGTCCCAGGCATCAGTATTTTTAAATAGCTTCCCAGGTGATTCTAATGTGCAGCTAAGGTTGAAACTACAGAGCTAGGGAGGAAGATGAACCAGAGATAGGCTCTTAAGTTTATCTTAAAGCCCAATCAAATCCTAAAGAGATCTTTTGAAATGTAAATGAGGCAGGAAGGCAGAGGCTGATATTTCAGACGCTGGGTGCCAAGAGCAGGAAGGCAGTATTTGAGAAGGGCTGATGGGGGAATCTTTCAAAAGCTAGGAGGTAAAAGAGTACGGAAGGCGGGTGAGGGTCACAAAACAAGTCTTTCCACAAAGAGCTCCTCCCACAAAAGAGGTCTGGGAAGGGGATGCTCAGAGAGAGACCCTCTCCCACAGTGGTGAGGTGGGGGCTCTGGAGTCAGGTGGCCAGGGTTGCAGATCTGGGCCTCCCTATCACAAGCATATTGGGCTTCCCTAGTAGCTCAAATGGGAAAGAATCTGCCTGCAACGCGGGAGACCAGGGTTCAGTCCCTGCGTCAGGAAGATCTCCTGGAAAGGAAATGGCCACCCACTCCAGTGTTCTTGCCTGGAAAATCCCATGGACAGAGGAGCCTGGCAGGCTATAGTTCATGGGGTCACAAAGAGTCGGACAGAACTGAGCATAAAACACTTTGACTTTCACATCACAAGCTGATGGGTGGGTCCGGGAACTCAGGTGGGACGCCTGGGTGAACCACTTCCTCTCCCAGAAACTCCACTCCATCATCTACAAAACTGAGCCACAGATTAAATGACTACTGCAGACCTCTTGGAGGAGGGAAGTGGGGTGACAGGAAGGGGAGCCAGGGGTTCCCAGAGGCACTGAGAGGTCCCAGCCATCACACAAAAAGGACTGAGATAATACAAAACCTAAAGTCATTAAAAAGGGCAGTGGGAGAGTGAAATTCACTGACATGATAAAATCTGAGACCAAAAAAAAGGTAATTGTAAAACAAAACCTGCAACCCAAATGTCCATCAACTGATGAATGGATAATAAAATGTGGTATATCCACCCAGGGGAATGTTAGTCAGCCAGGAAAAGAATGAAGTCTTGATCGATGTTACAATATGCTTGAAAACACTGCTGAGTGAAGGAAGCCTGTCACAGGAGGACACATCGCATATGATTCCATTTACATGAAAAGTCCAGTTAAGAGGCAAATCTACAAAGGCCAAAAGTAGATTAGTGGTTGCCAGGGAGGAAGAGGGAGTAGGGAGTGACTTGATGGCTTGAGGTTTCTTTCTAGGGCGATGAAGATATTCTGGAATTAGAGAGCAGTGATGGGTGTGCAACTCTGAGTATTCTAAAAACTACTGAACTCTACCCTTTAAAAAAGACAACCTTTATTTGAGACAAGCTAGAGGGGGGCTTCCCTGGTGGCTCAGTGGATAAGAATCCACCTTGCTATGCAGGAGACACAGGTTTGATCCCTGATCTGGGAAGAGAAGCCACTGTAATGAGAAGCCCATGCACCGCAACTAGAGAGTAGCCGTAGCCCCCGCTTGCCACAACGAGAAAAAAGCCCAAGCGTCAACATAAGACCCAGCACAGCCAAAAATAAATAAATAAATGAAACTATTTTTTAAAAAACTAGAACATGTTACCATCTTTATAAAAATAAGACACGTGTGTGCATGCATGCATGTGGGTATACATGTGTGCATGTGCACGGTGGGGGGATATGATTTAAAGAATATACACTAAGTTGAAAACAATGAGAGTACAGAGAACTTGCACTTTTCACTTTTCTTCCCCCACATGTTTTTCAGAGGAGCAAAGACATAGTCCACCAGTGTTTTCTCTTTAAAGTTCTTAAAAAATGATATAATTTTTAAAAAGTAAATTAATACATAAAGCTATATTCTCACTGTAAATCTATACTATGCTGACAAAGCAGGAGTCCCCTTTTTTATACCCCCACCCATTCTCCTGAGGGTGACCTCAGCCAAAGGTTGGCTGGAGCTCCTTCTAGACCTCTGGCTCTGTGTTTAAAATACTGAAATAGATGGTGTTTTTAGACTTTCTTTCCTTCCCATGTTTACTTAGCTCTGTGATCTTTGATTTTTATAATAAGCACCTTAAGCAGAAGAAAACCCCCAAACATCCAGCATTTAAAAAGACAGCCTGTGTTCATGCTACATTATCATGTATGTTACAGAAACTGTGCTTATAACATAATCCCATCCTTATTTTGAAAAATACATACAGAAACAACTACACATTGTAAAGCATAGAGAAAGGCCTGAAAAGGCACAAACTAAAACAAATCATGGGTTAGGCTGAACCAGGCATCGAATTGAGGGAAGTGGTTAGGGGAGGCTTTCTTCTTTTATGTATGGTTTTTATCATTTCTTATATTTTGCAGAGCACACTCACATTCAAACTTCAAAAAAATCCAAAAGGGAATACAGTTCAGTTCAGTTCAGTTCAGCCGCTCAGTCGTGTCTGACTCTTTGCGACCCCATGGACCGCAGCACGCCAGGCCTCCCATCACCAACTCCTAGAGTTTACTAAAACTCATGTCCATTGAGTCGGTAATGCCATCCAAGCATCTCATCCTCTGTTGTCCCCTTCTCCTCCAGCCTTCGATCTTTCCCAGCATCAGGGAATACAGTGAACCCATTAACCGGCTGTCTCACCCCAGGCAACCAAGGCAACCATTCTGCTGTGTCCAGCCTTAGAGGTATGCTAGGCATGCATTACTGTGTTTTTGTAATGAAATTTTTGTTTCACGGACCTTAATTACTTTTCCAGTCAAAACAAATGCATATGTACATTTCAATATGTGTGCACACACATAGAAAAAACATACTGGAAATACAACAGATTGGAAAGTACTCCGACCCAAATAGTAATCTGGTAATTACTCAGAGAAATTCCCTCTGAATAGTGGGCTACAGGTGAAACTTTTCCTCCTTATGGCTTCCTTGTATTTTGTAGTCTTTCTCTACTAAGCATATGTTAACTGTCAGGTGGAAGGAGAAAGTTATAGTAGGGTTTTTGTTTTGTTTTAACGTACTTTCCCTGAGGAAAGTCATGAATGCCTTTTCAATAGGCAGAGGGGGAGCTCTGAGTGCCCACTGGAAAGGGAGTATAGGACTTCCCTGGTGGTCCAGGGGCTAAGACTCCACGCTCCCAGTGCAAGGGGCCCGGGTTCAATCCCTGGTCAGGGAACTAGATCCCACATGCCACAGGTAAAGATCCCACATGCTGCAACTTAGACCCAATGCAGCCAAATAAATAAATAAAAATACATTTTTTTAATTTTTGTTTTTATTTTTTTTAAATACATTTTTTAAAAAAAGAAAGAAAGTGCGGGCAATAGGCAGAGAAGAGGGGCTGAAGCAGGAAAGCTTTTCAGGACCAGAGTGGCTCCAGTCTTTTCTGCATGGAACGGATCCTGCCCCAACCCCATCTCGGTGCTCTGCAGCTCTGGAGGGAAAACAAGGCAGGCTCTCAGAGCACACAGACCTCCCTCCCCTCTGCAAGGCAGCAGCTGGTCAGGCGGGACTCCCTCCAGGGAGCCAGGGAGCCTTTGTGGAGCCCCCAGGGGCAGATGTTCCAATCCTGAGCCTTGCAGGGTGGGATGGGGCGGGGCGGAGCAGGGTGGGACAACTGCCGAGCACCCACAGGAATGCCAGTCACATGTACCAGACCCCGAGGGCACGCTCCTTGGCCGGCAAGCAGCAGGTGGCTTCCCCACCCACCAGCAACGCACAAGGCTGCCTCTGGGCAGCCAGGGTGGCGCCTCTAAGCATCGTTGGTCTAACGGCTCCTAGTAGCAGCAGGAGCTCTGTCCCTGCTTGCCCTTCCCTCCCTTCTCGGGGAGACTTGGATGGTGCCCCCACTCCCCAGCCTGCACTGGAGAGGCTGCCCAACACAACTGCAGCAGCCCCCTGCCTACTAACACCTTCCATCCTGCCAGGAAACAAAGACCAACCTTCAAGGAATAAAATGAGCCTTCTGCCAAAACAGTTGGGTAGATTTTCACCCAGTTTAGAGGGGATGTTTGGAAAGGTCTCCTGAAAACACAGACTGTGCAGTGTGGATGAAATTTCCTCCGGAGTGGTGAGGGGGTGGTGTGGATCTGGGTTGGGGGTGCATCTCAAAGACTGAGGCATTCTTGGCTGAAGAAGCTAGAGAGGGGGTGTGGCTCCAGGCTGGGGGAGACCACTGGGGAGGAGGAAACAGAGTGGTTTGACAAGAGCCCCAGATCAAATCACTGGGACAGACGCTGCCAACTGCGAGCGCAGACTTGCAACTTAACTGCTCCTTCTGTGGGCAACTGGCAGCCTGATATGGAGAGCTGCTTGTTAGAGGCTGTAGAAGCGTATTTACTTATGACTTATTTTTTAATTTTTAAATTTTATGTTTCGGCTACGCCTCGTGGCCTGTGGGATCATAGTTCCCTGACCAGGGCTCAAACCCACACCCCCTGCATTGGAAGTGCAGAGTCCTAACCACTGGATTGCCAGGTATGTCCCAGAAGCATAGTCATTAGATTAAGGTAAATACTTCCTCGGGACCACAGCCATCATAGAGGTTGTCGGGGTGCTGATACAATATTGACAACCAGTATTGACCAAGTCCTTCACCTGCTTTGTCTTGATCAGTTCTTACAAACACCTCTGAGAAGCAGGGATTCATAGTCCCATTTTATAAATGAACAAGCTGAGCACTAGAAAGGTTATACGATTTGCCCAATGCTACAGTTATTTGCCAATAAATGGCAAAACCAGGATTCAAACCCAGGCCCACGTGACTCCAAGTTCAAGTTCGTCCTGCAGCACATGGGCCATAGCAGGGCTGCATGAGATGATGAATCCAGCAGAACGGAGACGGGAACCCAGGTGAACTGATGCTACAGTCAGTGCCCTTCTTACCGCTTAAGAGTGGGAATCAGGCCAAGAAGCCCAGGCCAGAGAAGGAGGTCCTCACTGGAATGAGCAGCCCCTTCAGAGATCCTGAAACACAGCAGGGTTCCGGGAACGCCCCTGAATGGGTCGAGGAGCGCAGGGGCATCACCATGAAAGTCAGTGTAGCTTTGGAAGGTGGAAAGTCCTTTCTCCTATCCTATCTACATACAGCAGGTCCACTCCAGGTATACACCCAAGAGAATTGAAAACATGTCCACCCAAAAACCTGTACATAAGGGTTCACAGCAGCATTAGTTCATAACAGCCCCCAAAGTGGAAACGACCCAGATGTCCATCAACTGATGAATGGACAGACGAACTGTGGTCTCTCCACAAAGGATTATTATATGGCCATGAAAAGCAACAAAGTACTGACACCTGTCTCAACAGAGAGAGACCTTGAAAACATGATGCTAAGTGAAAAAAGTCAGTCACGAAAGATCATGTTGCATGATTCCATTTGGATGAAATGTCCACAATAGGCAAAACCATAGAGACAGAGAGTCTCTATGTCACTCATACACTCATACATTGCCACGGGCTGGAGGGAGGGAGGAGTGGGCAGTGACTGCTGACAACAGAATGTTTTGGAATTAGATAATGGTGAGTATTGCACACCATTGTGAATATATTAAAACCCATGGAATTGTACACCTTAAGGTGGTGAATTTTCCCCTGGTGGTCCAGCAGTTAGGACTCCACACTTTTACTGCCAAGAGCCCGGGTTCAGACCCTGGTCACAGAACTAAGATCCCACAAGCCAAAATAAACACATAAAATGGTGACTTTTACGGTATGTGGACTATATTGCAATTAAACAATTGCCAAGAGGACTGCCATCTATAAAACATGGACAAAATGGGAATTCCCTGGATGTCCAAGGGTTAAGACTCTGAGTTTTCACTGCCAAGGGCCCGGGTTCAATCCTGGGTGGGGGAAGCAAGATCCCACAAGCCTCGCAGCATGGCTAGAAATAAAACAAAATAAAATGGAGACAAAAATCACTATGTACCCTGGGAGGCTGTTGGCTACACAACGTGAAGACACACATAAAATGCTTAGTGCAGTGCCTGGTACAGAGTAAGCGCTCAGACACAGCAGTTGTATTATAATAAATCCCATCAACATTGATACTGGCTTTCTGCCTAAAATATAAAGAAGGGGAATGGTACTGCATTGGAGTTGGGGGGCTGCTATTACAATTTTTGAGCTGCAATCCAGCTGGCAACAGTGCCACTGCAGAACATGGCTGGGGCAGGCCACCCTCCCTTCTCTCCAGCGAAGTGCCATCTCCATAGCAACCACATCAGCTCAGGCCAGGGGCTCCTGTTCCCAGCCGGGTGACAGCATCGCCACAGCAACCTGTCAGGATGGCAAAGGCAGATCTTGATGATGGGACTAGAGCAGCTCTGGCAGAAGAATTGCTAAGGGACCCCTGTCTCCATAGAAACCATATCAGGAAAGAGAAGGAGGGGGGAGAGGGCAATCAGCCAATAAACACAGGGCCACGCCTCCTTGCCCAGATCCTAAGACTCCAAGGGACATCAGGGAGGGCTAAACCAACCCTGCTGATAACACCTTTAAGAGGAAGTGAGGGACTTCCCTGGAGGTCCAATGGCTAAGGATCCACCTTGCAATGCAGGGGACGCGGGTTTGATTCCTGATGGGGGAATGAAGATCCCACATGTTGTGTGGGGCAACTAAGCCCGTCCACCGCAACTAGAGAGTGCATGTGTCACAACAAAAGATCCCGAATGACACGACTAAGACCTGCTGTAGCCAAATAAATAAGTAGGAAGTGAACTAGTGTTTCTTGAGCATCTACTGTGTGCCAGGCCCCATAAAGGACTCTTTACATGCTTGACTTCATTTAAAATTTCACTAATAATGACCATGCCCCCCCTAAAAAAAAAACCCTAACTACATCAGTCATATAATAAAAAGCAAAGGTCACTCCCTACCCCACTACCACCACTTCTAACACCTGAGTTCAGTGGGTTTTTCCCCAGATTTTCCTCCAGGCTGTGCATTTTTGCACATAGACACATATGCTTCAAAACCAGTTTGTTCTGTATAGGTCTCCAAAATGATCAGCGAGATTGCACAACATGCATGGTTCTATCATTTCCTTTTTGTGCTTAACAATGTACCTTAGAAATCTTTCCACATCAGTGCATATGTATCTACCTTTAAAAAGAAAAAAAAAGAGAAAGTATACCTAATATAAAATTTACCATTTTAACCATGTTTTCCTTTTATGGTAGTAAAATATACATAACATAAAATCTGCAACTTTTAACCACTTGCAAGTGTACAATCCAGTGGTATAATCACCACTCACCTCCAGAACTTTATCATCACCCCAAACTGAAATGCTGTATGTAGTAAACAATATCTCCCCACACTCTCCCCCTCCAGGTTCTGATAACCTCCAACCTACTTCTGTTTCTATGGATCTGACTACTCTCAGTATCTCATCTGAGTGGAATCATACAATACTTGTCCTGTCGTGTTTGGCTTATTTCATCGAGCACAATGTCCTTGAGGTTCACCCGCATTGTAGCCTGTGTTAGAATCACTCCTCCTTAGGATTACACATACAATGTAAGTACATACTACATATTTCTTTGTTCACTGATGGACATGTAGGTTGCTTGTACCTTCTGGCTACTGTGAATAATGCTGCTATGAATGCTGTTGTTGTTTAGTTGCTCAGTCGTGTCTGACTCTTTGCAACCCCAGGGACTGCAGCCCACCAGCCTCCTCTGTTCATGGAATTCTCCAGGCAAGAATACTGAATGGGTTGCCATTTCCTTCTCTAGGGGATCTTCCTGACCCAGGGATTGAACCTGGGTCTCCTGCTTGGCAGGGGGGGTTCTTTACCACTGAGTCACAAGGCAGGTCTGCTGTGAATATGGGGGTACCAATATCTGTCCATGTCCCTGTTTTCAACTTTTTTGGGTATATACCCAGAAGTAGAATTGGCTTATTTGGTGACTCTGTGTTTAATTTTTTCAGGAACTGCCATATTACCTTATTCTTTCTAACTTCTTCATAGTGTTCTATGGCTATGAATCTTATGACTGATTATGAACCTCGTAAGCTAGGTACTGTTATTATCCTGACATCACAGAGGAAGAAACTTAGAAAGGGGACGTGGCTTCAGGGTCACAGCCACATCTCAGCCAAGGAAAGGCTGGGTGACCTCAGGCAAGCTCTCCCTCTCTGGGCCTCCTTTCCCTCCTACCTTTTTTTAAAAATTTATTTATTTTAATTGGAGGCTAATTACTTTACAATATTGTAGTGGTTTTTGCCATACATTGACATGAATCAGCCGTGGGTGTACATGTGGTCCCCATCCTGAACCCCCCCTCCCACAGCCCTCCCCATCCCATCCCTCTGGGTCATCCCAGCGCACCAGCCCTGAGCACCCTGTCTCATACATCGAACCTTTTCCCCTTCTTTACAATGGGAACAGCCTGACCTCCAAGGCACTTTCTAAAACTGTCTCTCCTTTTCACTATGAAGGGTGGCAACAATGAGATGTGTGGAGACGGTGCCCTGTGGCACCAGGCCAGGCCAGGTCATGGGGGGCAGGAGGCTGCCTGAGGGAAGGGGGCCCCCAGCCCGCCCTGGGAAGCCCCGAGCAGCACACACCTCCCTCTCCACTCTGAGAAGCCTCCGGCACATCACACCAACACAGCCAGCGGGAAGGGCAGCTGAAGGAGTGCTCTGGCCTCAGGGCTGTGGTGTGTCCTGGAGCACTGGAATGCCTGTCCCCGGGAAGATGAGGACTGTGCCCCAGAACAACATTTGATCCTAGGATGCCTCGGGAGCAGTCAGACAGCTGAGGGGCAGCTGGGGCCAGAAGGCACCAGGGCTGCCTGGGACACAGAGTGCTGGCTTCTGGAAGATTCCAGCCCTTAGGCATCGCCTCTGCTGGTGGTTTCCAATCATTGTACCCCAGTGGGCCCTACTTGACCTTGAGGACATTCCTCTCTCCCTCAGGGCCATTTTCCCATCCATAAAATGGGTACAATCACAAGTTCATTGGGCCTAATATGGAAATTATAGAAAGTGTCTGGCATGGTGCTTAACATGTTGTACACCTAACACACAGCAGGAGGAAGAATGGGCTGCCAGGTGGGAGGGGCACTCATGAGCAAAGACAGAGAGCCTGATGCCTGGAGCCACATTTAAGAAGCAACTGTGTCATAAAAATGTGCTGAGACACCAGTCAGAGGCCAGCCCCGGCAGTGACTTTATACTGAGTGGCAGCGCTTGGCCATCCCTAAAGCACATCCATAAAATCTATCCCACTTAGTCCTTCTGATGACTCGAAGTATTACTATCCCATTTTATAGATGAGGAGACTGAGGCACAGAGGGCTGGGCTCTAGGCTGGGCATCGCTGCACGTTTTCTCAGGTAATCTCCCACCCAGCTGTGCTCCTTTGATGGCTGACTGTCTCCTTCGTTAGCCTCTGGGCTCCTGGAGGTCAGGAGCCAGGTGTCTCTCAAGCACCACTGTGTCCTTGGTGTCCAGCACACAGTTTTCACAGGAGGCGCTCAGGGCGCGTGTGCTGGAGCAATGAATGAATAGACAGCTCTGCCAGGATGGCATGACAGTGCGGAGCAGAAGTTCACAGACACTGGCTGGGGTGGGGCTGGCACAGGCGCGCCCAGCACGGGCCTGGCCCTCCCAGGTAGGGCGGGACCCTCACCTCTCTCGGCCGCTCAAGCTCCGTCTGCAGCACCTGCTTGGCCAGCTCCGTCTCGATCAGCCGCTGCCGAAGCTCCTCATTCTCCTCCTCCAGCCTCGCCCGTTTCTTCTCCACTGCCTCCAGCTCCTTGTGCAGCCGCACTGAGATGTCTTTAGAGACCTGAGCAAAGGCAAGCGACAAGCAAGGCATGAGGAGGCCAAGGGCCATCCCATCGTGGGCACAGAGCAGCCCCAGGGCAGGCAGCTACTCTCATCACGCCCACTTGAAGAGGAAGAAACTGAGGCACAGACAGGTCAAGTATCTCAACAAGGGTCACACAGCCAGGAAGTGGGAGAACCAAAACCCAAACCCAGGAACCCTGTGCTTCCTGTGTTCACATCATGGTCCAGCCCCTAGAAAGTGAGAGGCCCTGTCGATCCTTAGCAGTGCCTTTACATTTATCTGGATCTTTTAATGCTTCCAAAAGCCTCTCCCATCCACCTTCTTGCCCAGTTCTCTCAAGAGCCTATGGCAGGACCAGAAACTCATTTTTATTTATGTATATATGTATGTACTTATTTATTTTTCGCTGCCCTAGGTTTTGTTGTTGCGTGTGCACTTTGTCTAGTTGCAGAAATCACGGGCTACTCTCTAGCTGCGGTCATGGGCTTCTCTTTGCACTGGCTTCTCTTGCAGAGCATGGGCTCCAGGCACATGGGCTTCAGTAGTTGTGGCTCTCGGGCTCCTGAGACATGTGGAATCCTCCCTGACCAGGGATTGAATCCGTGTCCCCTGCACCGGCAGGCGGAGTCCCAACCACTGGACCATCAGGGAAGTCCCAGAAGCTCACTTTAAAGAGACGGGAGGGACTTCCCTGGTGGTCCAGTGGCTAAGAGTCCACGCTCCCAATGCAGGGGGCCCAGATTCAACCCCTAGTCAGGGAACTGGATTCCACATGCTGAACTAAGAGTTCCCATACTACAACTAAAGAGATCCCGCATGCTGCAACTAAGATCCAGCACAGCCAAATAAATTAAAAAATAATAATAATACATAGAGGGGAAACCCAGAGGAAGATAGGCTTCCCCAAAGCCCTTTGAACCTCATTTTTTCTCAGCCAGTAACCAGCATATGTTCCTGAGCAAATCATTTCCCTATTCTGCCTCTGTCTCCTTCACTACAAAATGGGTGCAATAATAATAGCTCAACCTCCCGGGCCGACAGGAGGCCTGAATCAGCTGTTGCACCAAAGGCTTGGCCCAGGGCCTGCACAGTGAGCTCGGGGTGAGTGGCGGCGGCTGCTGGGAGAGGCTGAGTCCAGAAAGGGCATGGCTTGCTGGGGGTGACAGTATGACACAGACCCCGAGGCCTGTTTCCAATTGTCTGGGATACAGAACATGCCCCAAATGACAGAGGCTGGGCAGCCGTCCAGGTCATCCCTCCGGGAGGAGCTGACAGAGCCACAAACCCCAGGTCACCGGCTCCGGGACTCTGCTCCAACAACACTCCATTTCTTCGAGGACACCCCCTGTCCTATCCCCTGATGGCGGGGGTGAAAGGGTAGGAAAAGGGGTCTCTGGGGATGAGGAAGGCCCTTCTTCTTTTTTTTAATATTCTTTTTTTTTTGTCTGTGCCAGGTCTTAGCTGAAGCATGCAGGATTTAGTTCCCTGAGCAGGGATCGAACCCAGGGCCCCTGCACTGGGAGCATGGCGTCTCAGCCACTGGGCCTCCAGGGAAATCCCAAGAAAGCCCTTCTAAGATGGTAAATCATAACCAGCCTCTGTCCCTGAGAGGACTAAGCACTAGCATTTGTTGAATATCTGCTATGTGACAGATTCACCCGTCTTCACCCCAATTCTGCCCCCATTTTGCTGGCAAGGAAATGAGAGGCTCAGAGCGCAAATGACCTGCTCAGAGTCAAACAGAGATAGTGTAGGCCAAGCTGGGGGGACCTCAGGGGCTTTGGCTGAAGGGCCGTGTGGCGAGGACTCCACAAGGGGTACGAGGACTTTTGCCAGCAAGAAGGCTAAGTGGGGCAGACAGCCCAGCGCCTCAGGCCTGCCAGTTTCGGAAATGACCGTGGCACCTCCTCCCCGCCGGAAGGGAAGAGGGCCCTCCCCGGCTCTGCCTTCTGCCTGGGCCCAGGCCCAGCTCAGCACAGACCCCTTGGCAGTGTGCAAGGCAGGCCAGGAAAAACAACAGCCAGAGAGGAAATTCAGCACTCCCTCTCTCTCCTCCCTCCGTTGCCCGCTGCCTCTCTCCACCCCTGAAGATCTCCAAGGGCGGTCAGAAGCCGACCCACCAGGCTCCTTCCACAGTCTCTCTAGGCCCCCAAAACTTTCCCCCTCCACAAAGTGGGGTGAGCGATTCCTCCCTAGCAGAACAAAGATGTTGCAGGTGGCAAAACTAGATTCAAACCTAATTTCAGCCCTCACTGGATGTGTGACCCAGGACAGCAGTTTTTTTAAGCATCTGAAGTCTCGGTTTGCTTATCGGTAAAAGGGGGTGACAAAGCCTTGTCACAAGGGCTGCTGTGGGGAATAAACAACACAGTGCTTGGGCTGATGGCTGAAACATAGCAGGTACTCAAAAGTATAATGATTTGGGGGACCTTCTGGGTGGTCCAGTGGTTCAGATTCCAAGTTTCCAATGCAGCAGGCACAGATTTGATCCCTGGTCAGGGAAGTAGATCCCACAATGCCATGTGGTATGGACAAAAAAAAAAGAATAATGATTTTGTCATGCATTGTTAAGACTACCACTTCACCTCTGTGCACTGATTTTATCCGACTTGGTCCAACATCTCATAGCCTCACTTTTGAGTTTAGTGTGTGTTTCTGCTAGAGGTATTCAGCCCCAGGCTGTGGCTCTGGTCCCAAGTTTTAGGCTGTGAGGTCACCCAGTGAGCCCCTGTCCTGATGAATACTTCATTCA